AGCCATGTTCCAGCCGCAGACGGTGCGGGGGCAGGGGGTATCTACTGAAAAGGGAACCTCCCGCTTTACTCTAGAGCTCTGTTCCTCTAGGCCAAGAAGACTTTCTCAATCAGAAAACTGCAGTTTGGTTTCACCGCATCCGCACTACTACAGTGGAGTTCTGACTCTATTCTTTCGTTTTCCCTTTCCCTGTTTCTTTATTGTATGTAAAGTAACTGATGTATGTGCACAAGCATTTGCATTTTAACTAAATGGTCAATGGTATGTTTTGATCAATATCAAATGGAGATGTCTCCTTTCTCCAGTAGTGACATGCTCATTCAGCTCTCATCTTTATATTCCAGTAATTTATTTTGCTCTTGCTATTTAACAAAATAATAATAATAATAATAATAAATAAAAAAAAATCCTCGCATACATTGTTTGATTGGAGAATTTTAATGTTTTTCATTTATCATGGTAAAACCAAGGACAATTTTATAACTTTTTTGTTCACAGCTGTTTTCTGTCTTTAAGGGCAATCTGTCTTTAGGGATAAATTACACTAAAAGAAATGAATCCTAGATAGTTTTCCCTTCAAGTCAATTGTTTTGTTGTTTAAATCAATTTCTTGTTTAAGAAAAAAGAAAAAATATAAACAATGAAATTGCAATAAATACATATCTATCAACAATTAACTAAAAAACAAAATTAGTGAATAAGTAGAACAGAAACAGATTCACAGATGCAGAGAACATTTTGACAGTTGCCAGATGGGAGGGGTGTTGGGGGGAGGGGTGAAAAAGGTAAAGGGATTAAGAAGTACAAATTGGTAGTTACAGAACAGTCACGGAGTTCCAGAGAGATGATGGGACCTCGGTTCTGTTCTTCCTGAAGGGAAGATTTCAGTCAAGAAACAGAGTTCCGTAAAGCAAGCAAGAATTCACTGGCCACAGCAAACACACTCAGACGGGACGTTTATTAAAGCTGGAGACAGTGAAGCAGGGAAGGGCTTAGCCTAGAAGCGGCAACAGGAGAGCCCAGGCGGGGCTGCTTTGGCTCACTGAGAAATCAGAGAAAAGAGGCCTTGGAGACAGGCTCAGGGGGTGAGCCCCAGACGAGCTGCAGCTGCCCGCTGCTCCCCTGGTTGCAAGTCTCTTGGGGACCCTTAGAGTTTAGGAGATGCACGTCTGTGGGGGAAGAAAGAAGGAGGGGAGAGGCATGGGCCTGTTCCCAGGAGCGGGAGCTCTTGATGGGTCCTTTGTCCTGGGGGTTTATCTCTGCCTTGCAGGCAGGAATCTTAGGGAAGGTCTCAGGGGAGGATCTCAGTAGAATATTCACCAGCTTTGCAGGTGTGCGCTTTCAGGGCTGCGGTCTCCACCGATTGGTTGGTGGCAGGGCGGGTAGCGGGGGTCATTAGTCAATGCAGCTTGTCCTGAGGCAGCCATGGTGTCGCTTGCCTGGTTTTGCTGCTTTTCTGGGCCTGGAGCGGAAACACAAGTGAGGCCTAGATGTTATTTCTAGAGAGGAAAGGTCAGGAGGTCTAAACCACATGACCAGTGATATGAAAGGTCAGAAAGTCCAGCCCCATCACCAGTGATATGCAAGGGGGGAAAGGTTACCCTGAGGGTGAGGTCCTTGTTTTCCCGGTTTTGCCTCTCACTAGGCACCTGAAGCTTTCCACCACGGTGACCTTCGGCACCTGGCCCAGTATCCTCACTGTGCTCCTGTCTAACTGCCTACGATGGTGGGGATGTAAAGCACAGCACAGGGCATATAGTTCATGCTGTCCTAGTAACTGTGAGGTGTCAGATAGGCGTGAGATTTCTCAGGGTGACCGCTTAGTAAGTTATGTGACAGCTAATCACTGGGGCACACACCTGAAACTAATAGAATAATGTATGTCAGTTGTTATTGAAAAATTTAGAAAAGATTTAATAAGGAAATAAATTAAAAGTTCATCAAGAAGAAAAGAAAACAGCAAAGCTTATTCTCTAGGACATTTGAGATATTTGTTCCCTGGCATGTGTCCTCAGTTTGGCTCAAATAAACTCTTACCAAAAAAAAAAAAAAAATCTTTTCTCTCTACTTAAAAAAAATAAGTAACAAATTAATGATTTAGAATACATCTTCTAAACATTCCATGCTCATGGATTGAAAGAGTTAGTATTGTTATAACCACCCATACTATCCAAACAATCTACAGGTTCAGTTCAATCCCTATCAAAATTCCAATGACATTTTTCATGGAAATACAAAAAACCATCCTAAAATTTGTATGGAACCACAAAGACCATAACTAATGAAAGCAATCTTAAGAAAGAAGAACAAAGCTGGAAGCATCATAACCTCTCATTTCAAACTACATCACAAAGCTGCAGTAGAGATAAAAACAGACACAGATCAGTGGAATATAACAAAGAGCCTAGAAATGAATGAACACATAGATGGTCAGTTTATACCTAAGGAGCCAGGACTACACACTGGGGAAAGGAAACCTTCTTCAGTAAGTGGTGGTGGGAAAATTGAACAGCCACATGCAAAAGCGTGAAACTAGACCTTTGCCTTACACCGTCCACAAAAATTAACTCAACATGGATTCAACACTGGAACATAAGACCCAAAACCATAAAATGCCTGGAAGAAAACATGGTCTTAGCAATGACGTTGTTGGACTGGACACAAAAAGCAAAAGCAAAAGCAGCACAAGCAAAAATAAGTAAGTGGGACTACATCAAACTAAAAGCTAAAAATTAACTAAACAAAAAGACAACCTACTGAGTGAGAGATGATATTTACAAATGATATTGCTGATAAGAGGCTAATATTAAAAAAACACAAAGAACTCAGTAAAACAAACAATCCAATTAAAAAAAAATAGGCAGAAGATGTAAATAAATCTTTTTCCAAAGAAAACTTAGAGATAGCCAACAGTCACATGAAAAGATGCTCCACATTATTAATCATTGGAGAAATGCAAATCAAAACCACAGTGAGATACCACGTCACACTGGTCAGAATGGCTATTACCAAAAAGTCAAGAAATAAGTGTTGGTAAGAATGTGGAGAAAAGGGAACCCTTGTGCATTATTGCTAGTAATATAAATTGATGCAGCCACTGTGGAAAACGGTATGGAAATTCCTCAGAAAATTAAAAATAGAATTACCAAATGACCCAGCCATTCCACTTCTGGGTATGTATCCAAAGAAAACAAAAAAATGCTAAGTAGAAAAGATATCTGCAACCCCATATTCATTGCAGCATTATTTACAGTAGCTAAGAGATGGAAACAACCGAAGTGTCCAGAGACCAATGAATGGATAAAGAAATTATGATATACATATATGTATACAATGGAATATTATTCAGCCATAAAAAAGAAAGAAAACTTGCCATTCACAACATGGAGAGACCTTGAGGGCATTATGCTAAGTGAAATAAGTCAGACAGAGAAAGAAATACCAATACACTTGTATGTGAAATGTAAAAAAACTAAAAACCAAAAAACCAAAAAACCAAACAACAAACCCTGACCTCATCAGATACAGAGAACAGATAGGTGGTTGCCAAAGGGTGGGGGTGGGGAGAGCAGAGCAGGGAAAATTGGTGGAGGTCAAAGGGTACAAACTTCCAGTTGTAAAATACTTCATGAGGATGTAATATACAGCATTAAGTGACTACACTTAATGCTGCATATAGTAAGAAGAAAATTTTAGAACAGTTTTATATTTACAGAAAATTTGCAAAGCTACAGAGTTCCCATGAACCTCACAGGCTCCCTTATTATTATTAACGTCTTACATTAGTACGATACATTTCTTCCAGTTAAGGAACTAATACTTATACACTATGGTTAACTAAATAAATAAACCGTAGCTGACTAAGATTCCCTTCCTTTTCCCCTACAGTCCGTTTTCTGTCCCAGGATCCCACTGGACATCTAGCTGTCCAGTCTGTCCAGTCCCCTTAGGCTCCTCTTGGCTGTGAGAGTGTGTGAGCCTTTCTCTGCTGTGGCGACCTTGGTGGCTTTGAGGAACACTGGCAGGCGTTTTGCAGGATGTCTCTACAAAAAACGCTCCCGTGCTTTTCTCATGGGTAGGGGAAGGAAGCCCACAGAGGCGAAGGCCCTTCTACCTCTCCAGGGCGATACAAGAATCCCGCTCCTCACGGTGGAGGCTGACCTTGAAAACCTGGGGGGGTGTTTGTCAGGGGCCTTCCCGGCAGTTACACCCCCCAACTCACACTGCACTTTGCACAGGGAAGGCACCAGGCCCAGCCCACACCCCAGCGGGGAGAGAGAAAGTCATGCCCCAGGGTCTCCCCGAACTTCTCCCAGGGCCACAGCTGTCCCTGTGGTACAGCCCCTGCCACGTGGTCCTCTGCCTCCTGCCCCAGGCCCCTGCCCTGAGTCCCCCAACCTCTTCCGCCCCCGACCCCCACCGAGTGTCGTCGGGCCCATCCCACCGCAGTAACTGCCTCCTTGCTCCTTTTCCCTCTCTTCTCGCCTCCACCCCCACCCCCACCTAGGACACCACCCAACTCATAAGCCCCCAGGGACTGTCCTACCCTGCCCCTCCTCCGCCTCTGGGAGCCCTACCCCCACCCACGCCCAGAGCACTGAGACCCCTAAGCCCCGCCCCCGAGTACCTGGCCCCTCCCCCTCTGAGCTCCTTCTGTCCTGAGGCCCCCACCCTAATTCCATTCTTCACTCAGCACCCTTTACTAAACTCTCTCTCCCTGCCCCTCAAACCTGCACCCTCCCACTGAGCCCTTAACCCCACACGACCTTTTCTGCCCCTCCCCCCTTCCTGAACTTTCTATCTCCCCACTCGCAGGAGCGGCCCGCATGAGCTCCTTACCCTTCCACTCAACGCCCCTTCACACAGAAGGTTGCCGGCCCGCTCCCTGTTCGCCTGGGGGCCTCTGCATCCCCTCCGCCGGTGCTCCTCGGCCGCCCATCCCCGTCCTCCCACCCGACCTTTTTCCTGCTGGTTTCTGGGAGACCCCTTCGCTGGGTGCCATGGCCCTCTCCAGCCCCAGGACCCTGAGCCTGGACATTCTGCGCTGCTCGGAGCCTGCCCCAGGGGCACAGCCGGAAGGGGAGCTGTGGCAGCCGCCCGGTGACCAGCCACCCTGTGAAGTCGGTGAGGCCCTTTCTCCTTCTCCCCATCCTCCTGCGTCCGGGGTCCAGCAGGGCTGGGGGCACTGTGGGAGGCCGGAGCCCGTGGGTGGCAGAGGCCCTATGGCGGCTGGGGGATGCAGGTCGAGGCCCGAGGCCCGGGCTGCAGCGGACCTCAGCTCCTGGAAGCCCCCACCCCTGGGAGTCCCCGCCCGAGGCCCCCTGCCTTCCCTTGTGTGGGAAGGAGACCACCGGACCTTGGCCTCCGTGGGGAGAGAGGCAGCACAGGGGCCACACCAAGCTCCGTCTCAAAGCCGGCAGTCACTTGCCACCCATCCTCCTGCCAGGAGGACCTTCCTACCCGGGTGGGAGGGACAAGCGTCACTGTGGAAGGCGGGTGGGGGCTGAGCTGGGTAGTCCTCTGCGTCCCCCACGCTCGCCCCCCACGCTCAGGGTCAGACGCTCAAAGGCAGAAGCTGAGGGACCATTTTTCTCCCTCTGCTTGCGTGTGTCCCGGCTCCTGGGTGGTGTCTACCTGGCAGCTGCCTCAGTCCTGGACCCAGAGGCCGAGTGCAGCAAGGACGTCATCCTGGTGGGCTCCAGTGAGCTGTCATCCTCCCCTGCGCCTGGGCCCCAGAGAGGTGAGGGCTCCTGTGCGTGTGGGACCCCTCCCTTAGGATGCCGGCCGAAGGCCTGGGCAACATCTAGGCTTCCAGGCTTCTGGAATATTCGCACAGAATGCAGATGCCTGAGCAGAGGCACCTCCCACCCCCCAAGCTTGGGTGTTTAACATTCCAGGAAAGGTGGAGAGCAGGGGGTGGCCGGGGCGGGATCCTCTGGCCCCTGGGACTTCAGAAGATCAGCTGGAGGCATTCACTGCTTGGCTGTGTTTAAATTACAGATGGGCCGAAGAAGGGTCCACTTCTTAATTTTCTTTTCCAGATCAGATTGCATACGAAGTCAAGGTTAACCAACGAGCCATAGAAGGTGAGTGGTCCCACTGGCCCCCACCCGGGTCAAGGACAATGTCAGCCAGCTCTGGAAAGGCTGGCTGCAGCCTCACACCAGGAGGCGTCTGCCCATGAAGGAGGCAGCAGGCGGAGCTGGTGCCCTGCTGCCTGTCCCCTCCACCGGCCGAGCCCCCATGGCGTCATTTAAGACAGTGCAGTGTCTTTTAGTACATTTCACCATCACGGCAATTTAATTTAGGACGTTTTCATCGCCTCCCAGAAACCCCATTCCCACATCGTCCCCCATTCCTTATTGACCCCTCCCTTTGAATGTCAGGCAACCACCAATCTACTTGTTTTCTCTATGATTTGCCTGTTCTGGATTCCTTGCATTTCCATATGCATTTTAGGATCAGCTTGTCAATTTCTGCGCACGCGCATGTGCACACACACACACAGAGCCAGCTGGGATTTTGAGAGGACTGTATAGACCCATTTGGGGAGGCCACCATTTTAACAATATTCAGCCTCTGATCCATGAGCATGGGACACCCTCCCATTCATTTAGATCTTTCAGCAATTTTAGATCTTTGTGTGGTTTTCGTACTTCTGTTAAGTTTATTTCCAAGCCTGTTGCTCTGTTTGATGGGGTCGTGACACGCGTTGCACTTGGTCCCCCCTAGATGTGTGCATCTGCTGTGGGAGCCTCCAGGTGCACACCCAGCACCCTCTGTTCGCTGGAGGGATGTGCACCCCGTGCAAGGTAAGCGGGGAGGGGAGGGGCGGCTTCGGGGGCCCCCTGTGGTGGCAGAGGCGGCAGTGGCCTGGTTTGCCCCTCTCCAAGAACAAGTTCCTGGACTGCCTCTTCCTGTATGATGACGACGGGTACCAGTCCTACTGCTCCATCTGCTGCGCGGGAGAGACGCTGCTCATCTGCGAAAACCCAGACTGTACCCGGTGAGGCCGGCAGGGGCGGAGGGGCCCTAGGGGGCGTGAGGGCCAAGGAGCCTGGGAAATGCCCACCTTCACAGCCACTTACCCCCGAGGATGGGGGGTTGTCCCCCTAAAGGGATGACTTTCTCCAAAGCTTTTTATTTCCCTCTCAAATGTTTCATTTGGTGTAGAACTCTGACGTATGGAAGGTAGGATGGCAAAAGAATTGTGTTTCCAATGTTCTTTTTGTTACTGCATCATCAAGATGGAGCTGCCCCCCAATCATTACCTAGGGAGGTGCCAGAAACCTTGCACCCCTGGGGCCACTGGTCACGGCCGGGGAAGCAGGGGACAGGCAGGGGCACGTTCATTCCTCCTGACATGCCGACGTGAGCTCTGTCCATGGCTGCCTCCCCTTCCATCCTCCTGGGCCATCCCTGCCTTTACAGCGGCCCCCTCCCCTACCTGCCCCCCTCCCCAACTGGTGCGGGGAGACCTTAACTGTTTCCACAGGCTCCTGGGTTGGGGGAAGACAGGTGGCTTAGGGGGTTCCTTGAAATCTCCCATTGTCCATAAACAGCTCGCTGTCTTTTTCAGATGGCTCAGTTCCTGTCCCTTTAGGTCCCCAAGAGAGACTGGTCCCCGTCCCAGGTCCACAGTCTCGCCCTACCACTGTGTGGGGTGCAGACGAACAGGACAGGGTCCAAGCTATCTTTTCACACGAGCCTGGGTGTGACTCCAGTAGTTCTCTCCAAAGACAGGGGCCGGCTCTTCTGCCTGCAGAGGGCCCATGGTTGGTTGGTTGGTTGGTTGGTTGGTTGGTTTCTTTCTCGATTTTATTTATTTTTAGAGGGGGAAGTAGGGAGAAAGGGGGAGAGAAACATCCATCAGTTGTCTCTTACACGCCCCCAGTGGGGACCTGGCCCGCATCCCAGGAATGTGCCCTGAACTGAGAATTAACCTGAACCAGGAATTCAACTGGCGACCTTTCACTTTGCAGGACAATGCCGAACCCACTGAGCCACACCAATCAGGATGTCGACCTATAATTTCAGTTGGTGGCCAAAGCAATATCATCTCAGCCACTGTGGGCTTTCTGTCTGACTCTAGGTGCTACTGTTTTGAGTGCGTGGACATCCTGGTGGGCCCCGGGACCTCGGAGAAAGTCCAGGCCATGAGTAACTGGGTGTGCTTCCTGTGCCTGCCCTTCTCCCGAAACGGGCTGCTGCACCGGAGGAGGAAGTGGCGGGAGCGGCTGAAGGCCTTCTATGACCAGGAGTCGGTAAGGAGCCGCTCAAAGGATGGACCAGTGCCGATGGGCCCCCAACGTTGCTGGCTTTCCCGGGTCCCTAGCTGCAAAATACCCACCTGCTCCGCGAAGTGAAAGGCTTTTAAGCAAATGCACTTTTCTCTTTGACAGCCGATTCCACTAGGTGGTCTTTTCTTGAACTCCTTTAGCAGGTGGTTTTGTTTGTTCTGAGCCTGGAATGAGCTGCTTGCGGTAGGTGGGAGAGGGACTCCCCCCAGGAGTGCCTCTCAATCCAGCAAGTGGGAGCAAACGCCTGCGCAGCCGGCACAGACGCAGGGCCTTGGCGGCCAAGGCCAGGTGCCAGGGAGGAGCTGTGGACTCACCACAGTGGAAGGAACTGTGCCCCCCAAAGTCCTGACCCCTGGTACCTGTGAATGTGACCTATTTCGGAAGTAGGGTCTTTGCAGCGTCGTTGAGTTAAGGATCTTGGGGTGAGGTCCTCCTGGGTTCAGGTGGGCCTGAAATGCAGTGAGTGACTGGTGTCAGAGAAGAGGAAGGAGAGGAGGCTGGGGAGACAGACACACAGAGGGAGGACGGCCACGTGACTCCGGTGGGGGGAGAGGCTGGAGTGATGGTCTGGGAGCCCAGGATCCCAGGCTGCCGGCCACACCCAGAAGCCGGGAGGGGCCTGCGGCGGGGCCTCCCTCAGACCCTCCAGAGAGAACCAGGCCTGCTGACACATTGCTTTGGGACTTCCGGCCTCCTGAATAAATTCGTGGCCACACAGTCTATTTCCGTTTGTTGTGGTTGCTCTGGGAAACAGAGACAGCAGGGTGAGAGCGCTTGGCAGGGAACCTTGGTGGCCAGACCAGTTCTGGGGCCTTGCACGTCGCCTGCCGGGACCACTCATGGGCCCTACAGGCAGGTGTGCCGTCCCGCAGTGTCCTTGGCACAGGCTGGGAATGTGTACATATTTACAACCTCTGCAGGTGTTACTATGGTGCTCTTTGCAGAACAGGCACATGCACTTCTAGAACCTTCTTCCAGGGCCATTTAGTGGCAGAAACTGTCCATCTCAGTTTTGAAATGAAAACTTTGAAGGAACTCAACTTTGCAAGAAAATGAAGTTGATATTCAGAAATGTTGTTGATGCCAGCCCAGTGCCAGGTGCAGAGGGAAGCGGCTCAGCTCCCACAGCTGTAGTGGGGGCAAGGATGCGTGCCCCCTGGGGTTCAGCAGAGCTGGGCATGTGCGGGACGGCCCCCCGCTTACCCCCCACCCCGCTCCACCCCCTCAGGGCAGCCAGGACCACCACCTGCCCCGCCCCGCACTCACCTGCTTCCCCCACAAGGCCTTGTTGGTGCTGTCCAGTCTGCTTGAGCGGCAGGCAGGCCCTGCCCTGGGTGCCCCTGGGTACCCTGCAAGCCTCCCACGCAGGCAGACACCCTGCTCAGGCCTGGTCTCTGACAAGCTTGGTGCCTTGTTTTCAGGAGGTCAGGCTCCCCCGAAGTGCCGCCTCTTGGGGGCAGGGCACCTTTGGGGGTTGTTTCCCAAATTGATCAACAGTCTCTCCCTGGGTGTCTTGGAAGAGAGAGGGGGGCATCATCCATGGCCTTTCTGTTCCTTTGTCCCCAGCACGGCTTCTTCGTGACCGAGCCTGGGGCACAGGCTCTTGGTACACAAGGTCTCAGTCCTCGCCCCTGAGATGGGCCTCCCACTGGTAGCGTTCAGGGGTGCTAGGTGGCTCGGGGCCACACTCAGCCCACACAAGGAAGGAGAGAAATGGGGTGAACCCCGCTGCTGCGTGTATTCAGATCTTCCCCAGTGTGAGACCCTCCCCAAGAAATACAAAGGGAGTGTCCCCCAGGACCGGGATGGAATTGTCTTCCTTCACTGCGCCCGCCTTTCCTTTGCTGAAAAAGGCCTGGGGAAGGTTTGGGGCAGGACGCTTGGTCTGAGGACAAGCAGGGTCTTCATGTGGGTCTGGGGGCAGAGTGACCAGGGCGGGGCCAGCTCCTTCAGCAGAGGTGTCCCCACTGGGCTTCTCTTCATCAGGAGAAATGCCGATGTGTCTGCTGGCTGGAAAGGAGTCTCCATGTGACTCGTGGACTCTATATCCAAGTTGTCCCAGAATGTCCTTTTTTTTTTTTAAAAAAACGTAGGATAGCCCCCTTCAGATGTATGCAACTGTGCCTGCGTGGAAGAGAGAGCCAGTCCGGGTGCTGTCCCTTTTTGGGGAGATAGGGACTGGTGAGTATGGTGACATATAGGGGACTCTAACCGGAAGGTGCCCCTGCCCTAACCTGGATTTGGGGGGAAGGGGGCGTGGCTTAGAACGTTCCCATGTGATACTGGGAACACTTGCTGAGCATCTGGGGCAACTCCACACGTCTGGGGCTGAGGGTCATTTTGGGGGGTCCACGGAGGGTGCAGGAGCCCTGGAGCTCCCTCTTTCAGAAGACACGCATTGAAAAGGAAAAGCAGAAAGCAAGCCAGCGGATGCAAAATGCCACTAATGGGGGCCTGGCACAGGCTCTGCCCGTGGCCACCGAACACCAATACCACCGCCCACACGGCCACCTGGCAGGGCCCCTCGGCCCCTCCCAGGGGTCACAGTGCCCTCACTCGTAGGGAGCCCCAGCGGGTCACATGCTGTACTCCAGCGTTGCCCAGCTGTCTTGCTTCTCTGGACCCCGAGCTGATCCTCACCTGCTGGTGCCCTTGGAAATCATGGATTCTTCTGGGACCTGCAGACAGGAGGAGAATCCTTGGAACTACCCCTTAGTCTTAGACCAAATGGGATCAGGGGCCCACCCCATTTCCACCGTGTGCCTCGTGCCCCCCACAGTGGTCGCAGCACTGTGACCACAGCGCCCTCATGCACTATGTCACCGACAGGGGGCTGGAGACTGGCACGGAGGGGGCACAACTTACAGGGGAAGGGACCCAGGAGTCAGGTCAGGCCGCATGGCCTTCCACTCCCGCCCAGGGACGCATCCCTGAGTCCCATTGGTAAGGCCCTTTCTGGGCTCGTCTTCCTGCCCCCGGGCCACAGCCTGCCTGAGGCCAACACTGGGCTCCAGCCGCCCACCCATCGCATCTCGCAGCCCAGCCTCAGTGGGTGGGCTTCCTAACCCAGGGCATGACATGGCAGCCCAGGAAGGCTGGCTCCCCAGCAAACTGCTTGACTCTCAAATCAATACTCGGAGAGGTGAGGGGATTTTTTTTTGTTGTTTTGTTTTTTTAAAATAGGTTTGTAGGTTTTTTACTTATTTTTAGAAAACGTAAGGGCAGAAGAAAGAGAAACATCAATGTGTGGTTGCATCTCGCACGCCCCCTGCTGGGGACCTGGTCTGAAACCCAGGCTTGTGCTCTACAGGGAATTGACCTGGCGACCCTCTGGTTCACAGGCCAGCGCTCATTCTGATGAGCCACACCAGCCAGGGCTCAATGCTCAGAGAGGTTTTGCTTGATTAGTGTGTAACACAACACATACTTGCATCCTTGGTCCCCCGTCATGGCATTAAAAAGATAAAGCTTTCTCCTTAATGACAGACGTGTTTTCAGTCCAGCTGGGCTCCAAATCCCTCTGTGTCTTTTGTGTCCTTATTTTTCCCCACCCAGAGCTGATGAGCTTGGGCTTTTTGGAAAATGTTTCTGACTCGGGAAAACTGAGACATCTGGATGATGTTACCGACGTAGTGAGGAGGAACGTGAGTACATTGTGTCCATCCAGGCTCTGTGTGGGGATGGTGGGCAACACAGCTGGTACACTGCTCTGATTATGGGGGTCTCACAGGAATTGGCACCCGCCCTCACAGTTGCTGGCGGTTCACCACTCAGGGGAGAGGCGAGGGGCGCATTTTCGTGGCCCCCACGCTGATCACAGCCCAGAGCAGAGCAATCGGCCAAACCTGTTTGACTTGTTGAAACCCAAGGGGCCAGGTCCCACGACCTGCGAGGGTACTCCCCAAGGAGAAGGCGGTGCCCCCCCCCCGAAGTAAACAATGGCTGATGGAGAACGTCCCCTGAATACTTCGATGACAAATGTTCTGGCTCCCTCGCGGGCCATTCTCTGCTGTCCTGCATAGTGGTCCTGGCAGAAGTATCTAAAAATGACTCATCAGCACCCAGCTCGGCCTCGAGCCCGTCATGGCGGGTGGAGAAAGGGAGGGAAGGCCGGGCCAGGAGGACCCTGTTCTCTCATTTTCCCTACTGCTGGGACACAGCCTCTCCCTGCCACCCACAAAACCCACGTGTGTCCTGGGGGTCAGCGCTCTGACCTTCCCAGGAGGGGACCTGGAGGGCAACAGCCGCCAGGAGGAATCCCTTGGGAGGGATCGCAGCGCTCTGCGGAGGGGGCAGCCTCTCCGCAAACAATGGAAGCCGGCTCCACGCGTTCCCACGGCCGGTGGTGATTGACAAGGACGCTGACAGGTCAGACCGGTGGCTTCACAGCCCGCCCAAGTGGTGCCACTGCTCGGCACACAGGAGCCTGCTGCGGGGACGGGCCTGCCTGCCTGCACGCTGCACATGTGCTCCAGTGTCCCGTGTCCTGCAGGTGGAAGAGTGGGGCCCGTTCGACCTTGTGTACGGCAGCACGCCTCCCCTCGGCCAGGCCTGTGACCGCCCTCCCGGTAAGAGCTCCCTCTGCCCTGGTACCTAGGCCCTCATCACCCCCTGCCCGCCATGGACCACCAACCCTCCTCAGAGAGGGTAGAAATGACAACTTCTCTGCATTTTCGTTTATTTTACTTTATTGTTTTAGATCTTATTTATTTATCTTTAGAGACAGGAAGGAGGGGAGAAAGAGGGAAACATCCATGTACGAGAGACATGTCCATTGGTTACCTCTCGCACGCACCCCCCAGCCCGGGCAGGTATCCTGACTGGGAATTGAACTTTCAGTTCCCAGGCAGCACTCAATCCACTGAGCCACACCAGCCAGGGCTGCATTTTTAAAAACATCTTTGTTGAGGGATCAGAAATATCTATCCACTGTCCGCGTTCGGCGAGTACAGTGCGCTGTGTTCTGACATGTGTCTCATGCGAAGCCACGGCCCAGAGCGTGAACTTACCCGTCACCGCGGCCCCTGCCCCCTCTGACCCTGTCCTGCCCGCTTCCACCTGCACGCCCCGCCCCATTGTAACGGCCTGGCCCTGTGACTCCGAGGCCCGGGGTGAAGCTGGGGTCTGCACGCCGGGCGACAGTGAGCCTGGGCCCTGGGCCTCGGTTGCAGCAGGGAGGACAGAGGCTGGCCACACGGAGCCTGGTCCTTCCGCAGTCTCCCCCACCCCGGAGCCCTCAGCCCTGGATGGTCTCCCCAGGGTGGTTTGTGTACCAGTTCCACCGCATCCTGCAATACGCGAAGCCCCGGCCCAGCAGCCCACGGCCCTTCTTCTGGATATTCGTGGACAACCTGGTGCTGACCAAGGATGACCACACTGTAGCCACACGCTTCCTGGAGGTACGTACGGCGTGTGGTCCCAGGATGCCTGCCAGGCTGGGCCTCCCCAGGGAACACACGGGCTTTGACAGGGGGTGGCAGGTTAGATTCTGACATCTGAGGCCTCCGTTCTTGGAGTTTGCAGGGACCATGAGGGTCGCCTTTCCACCAGGGCATGGACCCTTCATGGTGGCCTTGGACAGTGTCCCCTTCACGCTATGCTCAGGACACACCCCTGCCGGGCTCTTCACCTGCACACACGTACAGATGTGCACACACCACGCACACCACTTACGCAGTGTGAAGCTTCAGATGACTGACGCGCATCGCAGACGTCATCCCAGGCACGCGCACACACCCTCCGGGGCACCGGCAGCCCTGTTTTCTCTCTCCGGGTGTCTGATTCCTGCCCCTTAGAGCAGCCAGGGCTCAGTGACAACTCTGTCCTGGGCTTACATGTGTCCCTCTTGACACCTCCCCACACAAAAGACAGCCCCTGGTCGAGCCTGGTGTCCACTCCTCAAAGTCCACATTGAAATGGGTAGCAAACAGTTTCCTTGCCACCCTGACCCCACCCATCCCTGTCCCCTGGTCTCCAGTGTCTCGGTCGCCTCCAGGCCTCCTCACACAAACACAGCGAATCAGCCTGCGCTGCCGCTCTGCTGGGGGCAGTTTGCCCAGCGCCAAGCCCTCCCGCCACCGAGGGCCACTTGTTCCTTGTTTTGGTTTGTGGGCTTTGTTTGGTTTTGTTTTTTCTTCCATTTGCCTTTGTGTGGACATAACAAATGAATTAACCAGTTCCTTAGTGATGGATAATTGGGTGGTTCCTAATCCTTTACCTTCACAACCGCTGCTCCGATGAAGGAGCCTGTGTGGGCATTTTGGTCATTTTCCCAGGTCTTCCCAGTGGCCCTCGGGAGGGTGGGGCTCATCCTGGATCACAGTCCTACTGTTCCCACCATTCCCACTTTCCTGGGCCTCCCCCAGAGCGTCACCAGCTCCCTTGTGCAGTTCGTATTACGTTTGTATCCCAAGGAACCCGCGGCAGTTGAGATCTTCCGTCGTAACGTTTCAGTGGTTTTGATATGTTTGTTGGAAACTGTCTATTACTGTACCTTAATTTTGCTCCTGCTGCCGCATGGGACAGTCTTATGGTTTAAAGTAGTTTTCCGTGGATTCTATTAGACCCCCTGGTGTTTGAGCAGGTCATCTGCACCTCGAGACGGTTTTCTCCTTCGCATTTTATGCCTCGGGTATCTTCCTCTCGGTCTCCTTCTGTTGTCTCTGGGATGACACTGAGTCACGGTGTCCCCAGGCGCCCGCTTGGCCCCTGGCAAGCACCATGAGTGGGAATATGGCTGTCTTGTCCCTGACTTTGATGGCAATGTTTCCAGTGTTGCCCTAAGTGGACACTGGCTCTGAGGTTGATAGATTTCACTATGTTAAGGAAGTTTCCATTGGTTTCTACTTTTTGAGTAATTTGGTCAAGAGTAACTCCTGGATTCTGTCAGATGTTCTTTTTAATCTGTGGAAATAATGAGATAATTTTCCTCTCTTGGGCTATTAGTATATAATATATACCGGTAGACTTCCTAATAATGAACCATTTTTGCTTCCCTGGGGATGGGAAAAACCACTTAGTGCCTTTTTTGCTGTCACCAGCACAGAGGGGGTAGTGTGGTTTTTTTTGTGTGCGTGTGCCATTTTTCTTGGGTTTGGCTATCAATGTTAAGCTTGAGTCATAAAAATATTTGAAAAACCTAACAGTTCTCCCGTAAAATGGTCTGGATTGGGTGTTGCTGCCCTTGTTTTACAATGGGAGTTGGCTCTTCTGCAGGAAGAGAGGCCCAAAGGGGTTTTTATCTTTTCAGACATCAACTCAGTAAGTTATGTTTTCCCAGAGCACAATTCGTTTCATTATAATTTAAAAAGTCATGTTCATGGAGTTAAGCGGAGCAGCCTCGTGGTCCATGTGCCTCTCCTTGTTCAGGAGGCTGGGGTTTAAGACACGGACATGCTGCCCCATAACTGCAGTCTGGACCAGGTTTGCTTATTTAAAAAAAAAACCCTATTAATAAGTAATCATGGGTCCGGCCAAAAAGAGCAGATTCCAACTTGGGTGCAGGTGACTGGCAGGCTTGGAGGGCAGCAAAACTGCCTTTTTATGGTTTTCTGCACACATTTGGTTGATCCACATCGGTGCCAAATTAGAAGTGTAGGCAAAAAAGGGAACTTGCTGTGTTTTCTGTAACTGCTGCCACCTTGCTGCGGAGCCTCGTTCCCACCAGTGCTCGGGAACACCTAACCCTGCCAGGTGCAGGTACGGCCCCTGTCAGCCCTGGGGACCGACGACGGTGCAGCCAGCTGTCCCTCCCCGCAGGGTGGCGCCTGACTACAGGAAGAGGTGATGTGTCCCGTGGCCATGGGGCTCGGGAACGGCCCGCGGGGGCCTCTCGGGCAGCCCTGAGTCTGGGGAGGGAGAGTCAAGACCACCTTTTGCTGCGTTGGGGATTGGGTGGCTTCTGGCTGCAGTTTCTCCTCCATGGCCCTCTGCCTTCCGAGGCTTCCCCTGCCAGGGGTGGAAGGTCTGTCCCACCTCCTGCTCTCTTCTCTTGTCCTTCTTGTGACTTTTAGGGAGATGGTGACCCCAGGACCAGGCGCCCGCTTGGCCCCTGGCAAGCACCATGAAGTAAGGCCCCTCACGCTACCCTCCTCTCTGCCAGCACAGGTCTCCTGTCCCTGAGACAAACACCCTTGGGCTCAAAGACCACAGTCTTCTTTCAGTTCTTTTTTTTTTTTTTTTTTAAGATTTTATTTATTCATTTCTAGAGAGAGGGGAAGGGAGGGAGACAGAGAGGGAGAGAGAGAACAATGTATGAAACAAACATCGATCGGTTGCCTCTCACCTGCACACAACCGGGGACCTGGCCCACAGCGCAGGCATGTGCCCTGACTAGGGATCAAACCGGCGACCTTTCAGTTAGCGGGTCAGTGCTCAGCCCACTGGGCCACACCAGCCAGGGCTGAAGACCACAGTCTCCTTCATCTGCATGGGAGTCCAGGCAGTGCCTGAGCAGGCGGGGAGTCCCTGGGCCACGTGAACTGTGGGGACAAAAAAATCAGCTGGTTAAAAGTTTTAAAATAATATCTCAACTTTATTGCCTCATAAAGGAATTACTTTTTTAAAAATACGTGAAGGGAAGCAGTGTGGACTGGGGGACATAGTCCACCTGGGAAGGCTGTTAACTATTCTGAGGGCCACACATGGTTCCCATGGTGGCTGAGGCCCATGGGCACCGCAGGGGACAGCGGTCAGTGTCCAAGTCACCCTGGCCCACAGCCGATGTTTCTGCCCTCAGACGGAAGCCGTGACCATCCAGGAGGTCTGTGGCAGAAGCGTCCGGAACGCCGTGCACGTGTGGAGCAACATCCCAGCCCTGAGGAGGTATTCCCCGTGCGCGGGAGGCCTCTGGGTGGAGGAGGGACACTGGCCATCAGGAACACAAGGGTCTGAGGGATGGGAGGCCCAGCCTTGCCCAGCAGCCTCTCTACCCAGGTTGGGGACTATGTCTGGTGGGCCTTCAAGATGATCCCCAAAATTCTGGGCACGCTCAAGGTCAGGGATGCCCGTCCACTTGGGGGACCTTGTCCCAGCTGTTGCCTCAGGACTTTGCAAGGCCTCCCTGTGTCCGGAGAAGAGAGTCCAAGCCCCTGGCCACCTGCCACACGGCCGCATGCGCCCTGGGCCTGGTACCCCTCCCCAGCCTCTGGGGCACAGCCGGCCTCGCACATGCCCGGGCCCTCGCGCCCCTCACGCCTGCTCGCAGTCACTGACTCACAGCCACAGCCACTCACCCACGATGCACTCTGGCTGTACGAACCTGCTCCCACTGGAGCACCAGGCCATGGGCCTTCGCACACAGCCTCCTCAGCTGCCGGGCGTTCTCCTGGCTGTTCCCGCTCATGAGCATTCTCTCTGCTTGACACTCCTCCCCACCCCCCACGCAGAACCCCTGGTCTGGTCAGCCTTGCTCCTCAGGCAGCCTTTCTGCCCCCGGGACACCTGCCCTGCCTCTGTCTCATCGCACACTGTACCCCCTGCCTTCAAGGGGACGGCCGGCTCTTCCGCGGCACCCCCGCCCGGTGCAGCCTGTGAACCATGCTGACACATCTTCCGGGCCAGCTGGGTCCTGTCTTCTCCCCACAGTGGCTTCTGGAGCCTCTCCTACCCACCCCCGGTCCAGCATCTCTCCCCACAAAGCCCACACCCAGGAGTTGTTTTGGCACAGCTAAAGGGAGGCAGCTTTCTGGGATGTTTTCTCCGAAGCCAGGATGGACATCCTGTGGGGAGCTGCTCCCATGTGCCACGCTCCCCTGGCCTGCCCGCCAGCCTGCTCCCGCCCCCACATGGTTCCCAGAAAGAACCTGGAAGCAGCTTCTTCGAAAGGCATTTCCCTTTGGGATCCTGCTGTCTTAATAGGAGCAGAGACACCCACACACACTGAAAGTGGGCATCATCCTCTGAAGTGATGGGCTGCGGCCTTGGGCAGCCACGGTCACCCTTCTGCCGCCGGTCAGGCTGCTGGGGTGGTGTGTGGGGTTGGGGACAGTGCCAGGAGGGGCCCCACATGTTCTGGCGCCTCGTTTCTGTTCCCTGACTGCGGTGGGGTGCCCGGGAGCATGAGATCGAAGTGCCATGTCCATGAAGCCTTGAGTCCCAGGGGTTGTGTCACATGGCAAGTCCGGGGTCCTGTGTCCTCCCCACCCACCTGCCCCATGTGTAGGTCTGCAGCACCGGCTGCCACAGGACCTCCGGGGACGTGCTCAGACCTGTCTGTCTTGAATGTATCAGGATTCCTTGGGAATGACATTCAATTCGGTTTGACCAAGATTTGCCCCACTTCCTGCCCCTTCTGCTCAGGGCGGGGGCCTCTCCATGATGGCTTCTCACGGAGCCATCCGTGGGAAACAGAGGTCCATGCCACTGGGCCAAGCTCTGTCCTGGGGGACCTCTGCCCTTCACCACCTTGCCTACTTCTCACCAACCCAGCGCCTCCCTGGGGGCGGTGGGAGGTGTGGGGGCCATCTTGTCCCCTACTGCCCAGGACATGCAAGCTGGACGGGCTGTTTATTTGAGAGAAGTCCGAATAATCTGGAAAGCCTGGCACCAGCTAGCCTTCGCCGCCCGCCGCCTGCCGCCCGCCCCCACCCCAGCGTCCTTCCTGGCCTGGGGAGAGCGGGCCGGGTGCTCGCTGGTGATGAGCTTCCTCTCTCTCCCGCAGCAGGCATTCGGCCCTGCTTCCGCAAGACGAGGTATCCCTGCTGGCTCAAGAGAGGCAGAGAGCAAAGTCCCCCAGCGCGGGGCCAGCCAGACTTGTGAAGAATTGCTTTCTCCCTTTGAAAGAATATTTCAAGTTTTTTTCAACAGAACTCACTTCCTCTTTATAAATGACTCATTATGCTATGGTGAAAAAAAAAGGACTTCTTAGAACAGATAACTTTCCTCATATTGTCTCATTTTTCCTCTTCAGATTATTATTTTATTTGCTTGCCTTTGGATTTCCTAGGGTTGTGCCTGGAGATGCAGCCCCCCGCCCTCCGCGTCCACTCAAGAGAGGGAGCGAAGTGGCTGGCATCTAACCGGGGACAACATTGTGATGTTCAAACGCATGGTGTGCTGTTTAAGAAGTTAAAAATACATTTATTATGCAAGTTATTGGTCATCTTCGGTGTGTCGATGTATAAGCACGGCCTTCCTTTTATTCTGTAGGACATGGGGCGGGGGGAGTGAGAATGATGAGCAGGACCCATTTCGTAAGCGCCCGCTGCACGCCTTCCACATGTGTCCGGGGTGGTGCTGTCACGTGACGGCTATTCGCTGGCTGTGAGAGTTGAAACCACACACCCTGATGACAGCCACAAGGACATCATAAATCTTGATTTCGAGCTTGGTGAGCAAAGGGAGAAGGGACGGAGTAGGCAGCACAGAGGCGGAGGCCAGGCACACTTGTGACGCAGGTCGCCTTCCCATCCCCACAGGGTTCCAGGGAGGGTCAGCCCTTGGAGACCGTTCACTTGACTTTAGCTGGATTCGAATCACAGGTAGCGCATCCTAAAGAGATCTTTGCAGATTAGCCAGAAACCCCCTCAAGGGCCCGAGGCTGAGATCATTCAACACTCAGCTTGTCCTGAACATCATGGCCGGGGCTTGGGGGCCCTAGGGACCAGCGCTGATGCAGTTGAGTGGGATGTAAGGTGCTTTATGGAAGAAAGGTTGGGTTAAAATGGGATCTCTGAAAGTTTTAGAAAATATATCTTGCCCTGACTGGTGTGGCTCTGGATCAGGCATCGTCCTGCGAACTGGTTCGATTCCCGGTGAGGGCATGTGCCTGGGTTGCAGGCGGGGGTCCCCAGCCTGTGCGCACTTGTGTGCGAGAGGCAACCAATCGATGTTCACACATCGGTGTTTCTTCTCTTTCTCCATCCCCTCCCCTCTCTCTGAAAATAAATAAAATCTTAAATATTTAAGTAGATTAGAAGCTTAATGGTTAATTTTTTGTGTGTCACCTTGGCTGGGCCAGGGTACCCAGACATTTGCTCAAACATCATTTGGGGTGTTTCTGCGAAGGCGTTTTTCGGGTGAGGTTAACATTCAAATCGGCGGGCTCTGGGTGAAGTAGGCTGCCCTCCGCAGTGTAGGTGGGTGCCGTGGTCTGAATGCCTGTTCCCCATCCCACCCTCAAAAAATCCCATGCTGAGATCCTAACCCCCCAGGTGAAGGCGTAGGAGGTGGGGCCTTTGGAGGCGACTCCAAAATGCATTTAGTGCCCGAATCAAAGAGGTGCCAATGCGCCTCCCGCCCCTTTCACCATGTGAGGGCACATGGACAGTGTGCAGCCAGGAAGCGGGCTCCCCCCTGACTGTGCCAGCACCCTGCCCTCCCCCTTCCAGAGCCCAGAGCTGAGCGAGACGGTTCTGGTGCTTATGCATGTGGCGATCTGTTACAGCAGCCTGGCCTGACCAGAGAGCAGGCTGTCTCCGCAGGTGGAGCTCTCCGGCTCAGCCCCCGTGGGCTCCTGTGGCAGCAGTGCCTCGGGTCTCTGGCCACGCGCCCTGCGGATTTGGGATTCTCGCGTCCCCATAACCATAAGAGCTACTTCCTTGAAATGAATTTCCTCCCTCCCCCATATATATATATATACGTCCTGTTGGTTTTGTTTCTCTGGAGAGCCCTGCTACAGACGTTTCCAAATCAACATGAACCTTTTCTCGCCGGTGCATGGGCAGACAAGCCTGGCCTTGACGCAGGTCTCATGGGCAGGTGCTAATCTAGAAAGATCTTAATGAAACCGAGGGTGCAGCAGCCCCAGAAACACAGAGTTGGACACAGGGACAGGAGCATCCAGACACAGAAGAGATGGACCTTCCTTGGGGGCCAAGCTCTGGCTCCAAGCCGACGGTGGAGACCTGCGCTTGCTGCAGCAACTGTGGGGACAGGGCAGGCGGAGGGCCCTGCACTGGAGGACTGACTTCATCCAGGCCGCTTCCCCACCAGGTGACTGACATCATGGGGCCCAACCTAACTAATGTCTGCTTTCCACCAGACTCCTCCCAGCAGCCCAGGGCCACTCAGAACAGCTTTACACGCTCAGCTCTCTCCCAAATATCTAGAGTTTCTCCCCTAAGTATCTAATCCCATTCACAGAGCCCCTTTCTGGGACCCTCTGGGGGGTGGCTGAACTCTGCTTCCCCCAGCAAACATGTCCCTGTCCTAATTCCTGGAAACTATGAATGTTGTTTTGCATGGCAAAGAAGAACTTGGCTGATGTGATGGAATCAAGATGGGGAGACTGTCCTGGACTATCCATGGGGACCCTAAATAGGATCACTCAGGCGGAGGGAGGCAACCTCATACAGGCGAGGAGACTGACACAGAGCCATGCTGGAGGAGCAGTGATTTCAGACTCGCAGCCTCCAGAAATCTGAAAGAATGTGTTGTTGTTGCTTTAAGCTGCCAAGTTTGTGGTCATAACTTCTGGCCTCCACAGGTGCCCTAAGAGAAAAGATGGGCTTCCTGGGACCTGGGCTCAGTCAAGCTTCCTGCATTGACTGACACCTGCAATGTCACAGGCACCTTGCTGTGGGGACCCCAAGGGAACTGTGGCGGAGGCAGCTGACGGGGAGGCTGGGTCTCCAGCACCAACATGTAGCCTGTTGCTTCCATGGCTGCACCCAGAGCTTCAAGTCCCCGGCAGGAACACAAGTCCTACTGGGTCACCAGGTTGGCTCAGATATTCCCTGGGGGTTTCTCTCTCCACCCCACACTGTGGTCTGCTTTTTCCATTTGCCTTAAAACTCTTTGTGTTTGTAATCCGCGCATTAACTTGGCTGCTCTACGAGGGATCCCTTATAACTCTCCACTTCACAAATGGGAAAATGCAGGCACTCAGGGATCGTGTAACTCACCTGAGTCACACAGCCCCTCCAGCTGGGATTGGAAGCCAGCATGCATGTCTCAGGCTGCGGTTTCCGGGGTTGGTCTCGGTCCCACTCCTGGGCGGGCCCCTCTCTCCATGGCCCCGGCCCACCTTGAAGTCCTCTTCCAGCCCAGCTGCACTCCCTGCCACTTCACTGCTTGCTCGATGAACAGTATGTTTCCTCCTTCCAGAGTCCCCATTCTTGGGGGAGCCTGGTGACAACAGTACTTGGCCTTCTGGGTCTGGGTCTGGGTCTGGGTCTGGGTCTGGGTCTGGGACTAGAGTGGCTGCCCAGGAAGCAGAGCTTGGTCCTTCCCTCCCCAGCCTCAGCTCCTGCCAGCTCTGCCTGGGCAGCCCCTTCAAGCCGTCTCTTCCCTCCCACCTAGCATGGGGCAGTGCCGGGCGCACTGAAAGGCACCGACCCTCCCTAGCTCCTCAAGGGGGATTCTCCATTTCCCAGAACCCGGTCCTCTCCCACAGCCGCTAGCCAGCCGCTGGGATTGCTTGTGGGGTCCACCCCTCCTCACTCGGCATTCCTGAGGGCAGCGAAGGGATTTCCGAGGTGGAGGCGTGAACTGTCAGCCAATCAGAGCAGCATGTCCAATCTACAGAATCCCAGGGTCTGAGGGTGCGGCTGAAGCGACCGGACGGGAGAGGTGGGCGCGCCCAGTCCGGCCCTCCAGCCTCACCGGCCGGGGACCTTAAGTTGGCCTTCCCAAACTCTGTTTTCCTCTGCCAGCTGCTGCCAGCCCATGGGGAGAAGAGCCAAGGCCACAAAATCCCGTCCCCTCCAGACCTCTGGGCCTGATAATGTGCCCCGCCCGGTGTAACCGGCTACATTTCCTCAAGCTGCGGTACTGGACAGAACTGGTTTTTTGGCTCCTGAAATGGGGTGAATTCCTGAGACACCCCCTCCCCCACCGATGTGATTTATGCGCACGCTCTGCTCTCCTCACCAAATCTTAAAATCTTATCCTTCCTTCCGGCACCCATGTCCCGGACTCCTCCGCCGCGACTTCTCCCTCCTCCTCCCCCTGCCGCGGCCCCAGTTCAGGCTACCGGTGCCCTTGATGGATACACGGAAAGAGCCTCTGGCCCTGCTCGCCAAGGCTAAAAAGGCGGGTGGCCCCCGCTTGGTCTCTTTAAATCCTGCACACCGACCTCCCAGGCTGACCCGGGGGGCGGAACCCTGGGGCTGAGCGCGGCGAGCCCACCCCAGTCGCAGCCAGCGCCCCAGCTCGGTCTGTCCCCTCCTGTAACGTGTGCCCGGTCTCCCAGCCCATTCCTTTTGCTCCCTCTCCTCTTTGCTCTTGTCCCCACAGGAATGTTAGCTTCCACAGGGCAGAGCTTCTGCCTTTTTAAACGCTTTTCTGCCCGGACTCACAGAGGACCTGGCCGGCAGCAGCCAGGTCTAACTCTGCACTAACTCTGTCGGGAAGGCGGCAGGGGCGCGGGGACCCTCCCCGCTTGGCTCCGCCCTCGCCTTGCACCTGGTCTCTCCTGACCCAAGAAGCCAGCCTCTGCCTCGGAATCAGCGGGGGCGTCGGGACAGACCCTTCCTGCCAGCTCCTCGGCGACTGGTCCTCCAGACCTGCGCTGGGTGCCTCGGAACCCAGGCCCCTCCCGGCACCCTCTGCGGGGAGAGCACCCTGTCCCCTCGTGGCCCCAGCTCGGGGGGCCACGCGGAGAAGAGACCCGGAGGGCTGGGCGCGATCGGGGAAGGGAGCAGACGGCGCGTTTAATCGCGCTCCGCCGCCCTTGCATAGCCCTAGCCAGACCCGAAGATTTGGGCGCCAGGTCTCGCCAACTTGGAGGAGCAAAGATGAAGTGGCTTCCACGGGGCGGGGAGGCGGGGGGGGGGGACGGCGGGTGCTTCTCCGAGCCTTTAATGTGAACACACGCTGGGGCACGTGACACAGCACCCAAACAGGGTCGCAGAGCAGAGCTGGGAGGCTGGAGGGGGAACCTGGGGCTGGACTGGACGTCGAGCCTGCCTGCCTCACCTCCTTCCTTCATTCATTCATTCGCTCGCGCCTGAACAGACGCGGCCCGCCCACTCCGCTCACGCGAGCGGGAAGGAGGAAGCCTACGGTCGGGACATTTGCGGGCCCCACGTTCTGCGCGACCTTGAGGGGCACCACTTAGCCTTCCAAGGCCCCTCCACAGAGCACCTGGCCGCTCTCTTCCCTCGTTCCACGCTCCCCCCAACTCCCCCGGCACCTACAGCACCCAGGCCGGTGGCCCGGAGCCCATCGGGGCGCAACTCTCAACCGCCTGAAAAGGGCTTAATTTTCTGGAGCTAGTGGCCGAGCTTCCGTTCCGAGGAGCTGTGCCAGAGACTCAAGGCTGGGGGTGGGGCCAAGGAAGAGGGTGGGGCCAGGGGCGGGGCGGGGTGGGACGTTCCCTCGAGCCGGCAGTCTTTCCTAAGCGCTCGGCACTTGAGTTCTCCCAGCGACGCGAACGCTGTGCACTCCGGAACTCCAAAGGCTCCCACCGCCCGAGGGTCCCGCACCCGGACGTCTTCGCTTCTATCATGGCGCTGAGAAGGTGAGGGGCCGTCGGTCGGGCCCTGCGGGACCTGGGGAAGACGCGGAGGCTCCACAGCAGGGAGCTGGTGCCCTGGAAGGACCGACCGAGGGCGCCCTGGTGGCCGCGGCCAGGGACCTGCTCACCTGGCTGCGTAGCACCGGGATCGCGCGAGGATGGGTGACCGGGAGCGGGGCGGCATCGGGCAGGGCCGGCATCGGGCAGGGCCGGCGGGCGCGGTTACTTGCTGGCCTGGGGCAGCGCGGGGTCGGAATGGGGGGACGGGGTGGCGAGGAGCTGGGGGTGGGGGCCGAACCCCCGGCAGAGCGTGGGTGTGCTGGGGGCGGGGTCCCTAGAAGGGAAGGGAAAGCGCTCACTACCCGTCTGGCACTCTTCCCTACTCTCCTCCCCCGGCCCTAGAGAATTGCCCAGAGGTGGAAGAATGGAGAATATGATTATCTCGAAGGCCGGCTCGTGCCCTGTTTGGCGACACGCCCCGGCCCCCACACGCCAGGCATTTCCCCTCCCCGGTTAGATTAGAAGAGCCAAAGGTGGCGCCGCCTGTGTCCAGCCGGCCCGTCGCGCCTGCTCTCCTGCCAGCCCGAGGGTGCACAGCTTTGTTCCTAGCTTTTTTTCAAGATACCACCTTCAGGGCACATGACAGGGTGAACAGCCTCTGCCTCCCTTGATAAACTGGTCCCCAGCTCTCCCATCCGGTTAGAAACGTAGGTAATTTTAGGCCGTTCTGTCTCCTCAAAAGGAAAAAAAAAAGTACTGCCATGTCCCTCCCACCAGCCACCCTCCCCTGGGAATGGTGGCCCTGCCTGTGCCTTCTGTCTGACCCAAGAAGGGTGGGCTGGGGCAGGAAGCAAGGTCGTGAGGGATGCGGGCAGGGCTGGTGGGCCTGGGGGTGGGGTGGGTAGTGTTCGACAGCAAGGGTCAGAAGACCCCCCCCCACACACACACACAGGGAGAGGGTACAGAGAGTAGGCAGGCAGCCCCCAGGACAGGGCACACTGTGTCGCCTGCAGGAGCCCAGCGCCTGTGCCCAGAGGCCCTGACAGGTGCGCGTGTGCATCCTGGACCCTGAGCGCCGACAGGGCGGGCTCTGGGGCCACAGAGGAGTTCTCCCAGCTTTGTATTTTAGAAGGTTGCTCTGGCTCAGGGGAAGAGGGCCAGAGGGGTCGAGACTGGAGGCAGAGGTATCACAGCTGTCCCCACAAACAGGGAATGGTTGCCCCAACAGGGGCAGTGAGGACAGGCTCACCTACAGGCTGTGGCCTCTGTGGGACATGGAGGAGCCTTTGGTGGCAAGGGATTTGCCTCTGTGCAGAGTCAGATGACAGCTGTCGGGGTGGGGAGGGGGTCTCCGTCCAGAACTCAGGGCACATGGCATTCTGGGAGGCCAGCAGGAAGGGGTGGCTAGGCTGAAGGGTGCAAAGACTCCCAGGCGGAGGTGCCAGGAGCCTCGGAAGTGCACAGGTTTTCACCCCGGCAGCCCCGCTGCCCACAGCTGAGAGGAGCCTTCCCGTTTGGTTTCAGAATGAGTATGTCCACAGAGGGCTGGCCTGCGGCTCTCCGACTGCCATGGGGCATCTCAGGTCTCCTCTGCCTCCCAGAAATTAAATGCAACTCTTGCTATAGATACTTTGAAAGTGGGGTTTGGGTTTGTTTTTGTTTTTGTTTTTTTCTTGATTTCATACAATTTCTTGGAATCCCTCCCTGCATGGCTAGGGCACCAGGAGATCAAAGGCTGTGACCTCGGGAGTATCTTTCACTGCCCTTTATCACGCGTTGTTTTGGAGGGGGTTGTTAACACGGGAGCTGGCCGGCTGCAGGGGCTGCTGGCCCCTCAGGGCTGGCTGTGCTGGGCAAGGAGGCAGATGAACCTTGCCACGCGGTCCTCGCTGGTGGGCAGGCTGTCAGCGGACGTGCTCGGTTTTCTCCGACGGGGGCAACCCGCTCCCGCCCTGGGGAACAGTCCTCGCTGTCTGGAAGAAGCGGGGCTCACCTGCCTCTCTGGTTCCTTTCCAGGGCCGTCCTGTCCCTAATGCTGCTCAGCGGCCTGCGAGCTGGTAAGTTCGATGGACCTCGTCCTCCATTCGGAGAGCAGCTCCAAGCCCTTCTGTGCAGTGGTGGGGCGCAGGGTTGCAGCCATCAGCAGGGGCCCCGCCCCAGCCCTTCTTGCTTTTCCAGGGGCCCCTGTGAGAAAGCTGGGCCCCAGGCCTGGGTAATGTGTGGGGTTGAAGGCCGCAAAGAGGACGCTTGTCCAGACCCCATCGTTCTGGTTTTATCATGTGTGAGGTGTAGGTGGCACGTACTTCCTCCCATGTGTTTCAGCCCTCCGCTTTCCAGATGAGCAAGGCTTCCTTTTCTTCGGGGCCTCTTTGCCCCAGTGAGCCCAGGGGGCGCCCCCAGAAACCACAGCTTCCAGAAGAGCAAGGACAGGGATGTGCACTGCAGCGGGGACCAACACCTTGCCCGGCCTCCCAGCTCGGAGGGTGGCAGCCAGGGGACACGGCCATTTTACCTGCAGGCGTCCAAGTGTTTATATAGTAGGTGAAGTCAGTCTGGACACGCCACCTGCTTTCTTGACGTAGTGCAAGCAGCGTTTTAAGGCTGTTGTTGAGAAACTAATGTTTTCCTTCAAATGTCTAAATTTTTGCAAAACCTCTTTAGCTTGAATGAATTATAAGCTCCCAAGAAATGGCAAAGATAGCCCAGAAGGGTCCTGGTGCCCACCCCGCTATTCCCAACACTAGCAGCCTCTTACGTACCAACAGGAAGTCAGCCGCAGCCAACCCAGTGCAGAATTTTGCGTACCGCAAATTCTGAACTTTTAAACTATTGCATTCCTATGTGTAGCTAACGAATCCATTCCTTTTCGGCTGAAATGAGTTTGAATTGGTGTTTGAGAGGGTTCCCCTCAACCCCACCAGAGTAACTTCACAGGCTAAGAGCCGCAAAAGCCAAACATTGTGCTTTTTGAATCATTGCAGATACTGAAGAGAAAGAAGTCCAAGCAATGGTGGGCAGTAACATCAAGCTCCGCTGCATTCACCCCAAAGAAAAGAGTTTTGATTTAAATGAACTTCATGTTTATTGGCAAATCAGTGTTACTGGCACGCCAGAAAGTGTGACTTACTACCTGTCCGGGAACAGCTCCGTGGGCCATGACAATAACCAGTACAAGGACCGGGCCAAGATGTCACTGGACCGCATGAAGCAGGGTGACTTCTCCCTAAGCCTGTACAACATCACCCCCCAAGACGAACAGAAGTTTAACTGCCTGGTGTTCAGGAACTTAGACAAGATTTTGGATATTGTGGTCACGCTGCACGTGGCAGGTAAGAGTATCGATGCCGATACCAGCTCCCTCCCGGCTTCCTGCCTGGAGAAGGCACCCATGGGGCCCCACTCCAGGCTCACGCTCCGGTTTCTTCCCCTGACAAGAAGCCTGGTCCCCAATAGCAGCCTTCTGCTTAACAGCGTGAATCTGAATTGGCTGAAACATCACTCAGCTCGTAAGAAAGTTTTTCATAACCTGCGGCTTCCTGGTTTCACAGAAACGCCCCTAATCTGGCCACCTTTGCCTTGAACTCACCAGCTCAACTCAGACTAGATTTTTAAAGGAAAAGTGGGAAGGAATGCTATCTAAGGCAGTTTGGGGGTCAATTTAGGAGGAAAATTCAAGCCCATCACGATGCTCAGGGCACCGTTTAGTTCAGAAATGCGCTATGTTCGTGTCAGGTGACTGCAAGCTGCCCGGGGCCCTGAATGCGAGGGAGACTGGCCTCTGTCGCACGGGGATGGGGGGCCATCACTGCCCACAGGCTCAGTGACTCTGAGCAGAAGGCGTGGCTCTCGGGCAGAATGAGGTCCACACGCCTGCCCAGACTGTGGCCCTGGCCTGCTTCTCCACCAGGCTCAGGGCACGCCTCTCCTCTAACTTGGCGCGGGGCGCTGGGCACCCCTCCGTTTCTGACCGTCAGAGCCTGGCCTCCCTCACTGCCCACGTCCCTCCCCCGCAGCAAACTACAGCATGCCCGTGGTCATCACCCCCGCGAGCACCGCCCAGGACGAGGAGCTCACCTTCACCTGCATGTCGACGGATGGCTACCCCAAGCCCAATGTGTACTGGATCAACAAGACGGACAACAGCCTGCTGGACGAGGCCCTGCAGAACAGCACGGTCTCCCTGAACGCGCGGGGCTTGTACGATGTGGTCAGCGTCCTGAAGATCCGGCGGATCCCCAACGTGAATGTCGGCTGCTGCATCGAGAACGTGCTTCTGCACCAGAACCTGACTGTCAGCAGCCAGACAGGTAAGGTCCCCCGGGCTCTGCAGGGTCAGCCCCAGGTTGGGGGCCTGGGGTGACGGGAGATCTCAGGCAGAAGACAGAGCCCCTGTGAGGTCAGCCCTCAGCAGCATCAGAAGGGTAGTTGGAAGGGAGAGGAGGGAAGAGTCAGGTGTGCGGGGACGGAATTTCCATGTCTGCGGGGACGGGCACAGGGCTGGGTGCTCCGTGCACACTTACTTGGCCTAATCGTCACTCGTGGGGTCAGTTTGGAGACCCATTTCACAGATGAAGGACTGAGGCTCTGAAAGGCTATGTGACACTTCAGAAGCCCCAGAACTAGGAAACGACAGTGTCAGGATCGAAGTCCACACCTGCACAGCACCACCCCATGCTCTTTGCCTTTGGGCACGGGCCCCCCACCCCCGCCATGCTATGGGGTCCAGCTGGGCCTGGCTGGTGGCCCGAGGCTGCTCCCTGGAAGGGGCGCAGACGGGCGACTCCTTCGTAGAGGCTGCAGGCTCTCCCAGAGTGTTGAGATGAGGGGTAGAAGGTGGAGGTGCATCCGTGGGCCGGGGCTGCTGCAGGAAAGGGGTGCCCATCTCGTGACCTGTGGGGCTCAGGGCACAGTGGGAAGGGGTACAGGGCTTCTGGTTCAAAACTTACAAGACCCCAAGGTGGTGACGGCAGAGCATGACACCAGCTCTGGCCCTCCTGAGTGGGGCCCGGAGGCCCGCCCCGGTCGCACGGCGAGAGGCCGGCTGTGACCTACGGTGCGGGCGAAGCGCGCAAACGTGCGAGGGGAACTAAGCCAGTCCCAAAAGGTCACACGCTGTATGATTCCTTTTATATGAAATACCCAGATGGGCAACTGCTTAGGGACAGAGAGCAGGTTGGAGGTTGTCAGGGGCTCGGAGACGGGGTGAGGAGTGACCGCCAGGGCTGCGGGTTTCCCTCTGGGCGATGAAGACGTCCTGGCCTGAGATAAAGGTTGCGACTGCACTGAACGTGCCACTGAATCGTTCGCTTTAAGGTAATTAAATTCCATGTTATGTAAAAAAATTCACCTCGATTTAAAGACAGCAGTAAAGCTGGGAAAGGGTTAAATTAAGTTGAATGTAAAAAGCCAGAAAGAACCTGTGCTTCTGGCGCGGCCCTGCTCAGACAGGTGGGCAGGAGGCGCACCTGGGAGAGAAGGCCCTTCTTGCCTTCAGCTTTATATTTTAAAAAAATCACATGATGTCAGGGAAGTTCTTTGAAATGAATACTTTCTTTTTCAAGATGAAGGAAGACCTTTCCCTCCTCGCCCTCTGAGTCGTGCATTATTTTCCTCCTTCCCGTAGCGGAACCCAATGGGACCAACGCCGGCATCATGGGGAATCGTGATAGCACCCCCGGGGAGGGCCCAGGCAGCCCCCACGTGGAGAAAACTGTGGCCCTGCCTGCTGTGCTGATCGTGATGCTTGTGGCAGTGGCACTGGTAGTGGCCTGGAAGTGCAGGAGCCGGTGTCCCCGCTGGAACTATGCAGGTACCAGGTGGGGGCACGTGTAGATAAATGGTTGGCTTTTACGTGGGGGGAGTCAGCGTTTTTGCCTTTTTCAAGCTGTTTAAAAACTCTGCGAGAAGTTGGTTTCATGCATTGCCGTTTTAATGGTGTTAACATCCTGAGCGTGCAGAGCTCCGCCAAAGCCCCCGCCGGTGGATTTGAAGCCCGAGGTCTAGGGCTCCATATTCCTGACATCGTCTCCCAGGTTTGGGGTGGGGAGGATGGGCTCCAAATCTACCGGTCAGCATGGAGTTCATTTCTGTGGAAGCTGAGCAGTGCATCGGCCAGGCCTCAGACGATGCCCTATGTCCCGGGCACAGAGTAGCTCAATGTGCTCCTCCCGCACTTACACTTACAAAGCATCTGCCCCAAGAGCAGCCTGGCCTGAGGACACCTCCCTTGGGAGTCTGATCCCAGCCCGAGCACTCAGGCCCCTGGCATCTTCAGATTGGCCCCTTCCCACTCTTCGCAGCCCACCCTGAGCATTTCTGGTTTGTTCCAGCAGGTGCCCAGTGTTCGAGGCCAGAGCTGGAGTTGACTGGTGAGTTTTCCAAGAGGCGGGGAGGTTCGGGGAAAATGTGTACAGGTTACAAGGGCCCCGGGGACTTGGCAGCCACTCTCTCAGTGTTTGCCATTTGGCACGAGCGATACTTGGTGACTAGGACATAGGCACTTCCATTTTCAGAGACACTGAAACCCCCAGGGAAGACATTTCTTGCCTGCCCTCTTCAGCACGTAGTCCTGTCCACGCGGCCACTTGCTGACGTTCAGTTACGGAATTTGGCAAACGTACACCGGGCAGGGAGAATAAGTAGGACGAGGACCCCCCGGCACCTCCACCAAGCTTGCATTAGCCATCCTCGTGGCCTCTGTGCATGCACCCCACCCCCGCCCTGTCTGCACGGGGTTCTTGAGGGAGTCCAGACACTGAGTCCTTCCTAAAAGAGCAGTTATCCAGTGTTCCCTGGGTGAGCCGAGCAACCCGCAGTCCTGGGAGCAAAGGTTGTTGTGACTGCCATCCCAGTTGGGGAAATATGTTCCCCTACAGCCTCTGGTTTCCCACCAGCAGGTGCCCGAGGCTGTGAGCAGCTTTGCAGTCCGTCAGCCACCTTAGGCAAATAACTGCTCCTGACCGAGCCACACGTCTCCACCTGCAGGGAGGGTCGGCCCAGGTGCCCCAAGCGCGCACCGTGAGCGGGCCCGCCTGCCACCAGGTGAGCCTGGTTCAGGTCGGCTGGCTGGCTGCGGGAGCTCACTCTCGCGGCCCACGTGAGCCAGTTTTAGGTAATCTGGAACACAAGGTGCTGGAAGCTTGGGGCCTGCCTGATCTGAGTGCGGTGAAGCGTGCTGTTGGCAGGCAACCATCTTGAACCCCTTGGTTTCACCTTCCTGAGCCCTGAGAAAATCTCTTTGCCTCCGAAATGCAAATGAACCGGCGCAGTATTTCACCTCCCTCTCCCTTCTCTTTCCTTCCAAGACCATGTTTGATGAGAGCTCACCATCCAGGAGATGGACAAGGCTTCTGTGAGGTGTCACCAAGAGGGACGTCAGAGGCAGCTTGAGAATTGACTCCATCAGGCCGGTGGCAAAGGGAGGTTATTGGCCCCACCTGTACCATTAACGCGGGGCTTCATGGACACGAAGCCTCGTTGGTCTTGGAGGGGACAGGCAGGGGCTTCCCCTGGAAAGACCGCACTTGACCCTAGGGAGAATGTGCCTGGTGTTGCTCTGTCCCCAAGTGAGGCCCTTTCTAACGGGCTGGCAGCTCTGGAACACACCACACGCCGCCACGTGAGCGGTGCCCCACCTTCGCTGCCAAACACAGCAGAAAGAGACCTCAAGATGCCTCCTTCCCGCCACCAGCCCCGGAGAGTCCTTGGCGCTCTGCTCGATGTCCCGGAGGCACGCTGCAGGGTGAGGGGTTCTGAGAGTGACAGGAGGCCAGCGCCACGTGGAAGGAAGAATGAAGGCATCCGCGCTCTTCCGGGACGGCCTCTGCTGGGCAGGGGTTGATGGAGGGCGTCTGCCAGGGCACCTCTGGGGGTCCGTGCACGTGTGCGAGTCCCAGGAGACGCAGGAATGGTCACCACGGAAAGACCCCCAGGATTCACTGTCGTCTGGGATACTCGCCGGGAACCACACTCAGCCTCGGTGGTGGTGGTGGAAAGCTAGGTCCCCCTCCTGCACAAGCACAGCGGAATTTTACGCAAAGAGGGCTGCTGCTGGCGCCCACGGACTGGGCGGCGTGGATGCAGAGGGCACAGCCAGCGGTGTGGCAGTGCTTCAGAATGCGCAGTAACCTCCTCAGGGAGCCGGCTGGGCAGCTCCCGTCACGCCCTGCGCGGTCGCCACGGCCTCTCACCTGGCCACTCCCAAGAACCTGCAGAGTCCGATAGAGGCCTCGGCATGAACCCCGGGTTCCTCAGAGCCCACCAGGCCCCCAGGGGATGGGAGATGGGCCGTGGTCCTGGCCCTTCCTGGGCAGTTTCCACGTTGTTGCCTGGAATGAATCTTGGAGTGTAATGTTTCCAGGAGGTTCTGCAATGGAGGCTGTCAGGTAACCCAGGCGTGTACACCCAGAAAAATGGGGCCTGTGGTTCTGCCCGTGGTCATTCCACACTGATGGACCCCAGACCCAGACTTGGGGCAGAAGTGAGGACCTGGCTCCGTGGTGAAGGCAAGTTTCACACTTGTCATGAGAAAGCCTTCGTTTGTCTTTGTAGCAAAAAGCCCTCCCATGGCTTTTAAGTGAATGTGATGAGGGACCACCCAGACTTTAACATGGAAGCATTAGAAGATGAATGTCATCCCTAAAAGAGTGACAGAAGGGTCACTAACTGCCTTTGGAGCCAAGAAGCGCTGGGCTGTGGTGCCGTCCTCTGCCCCTGACCCTGATGGACCCTGGAGGCGCTCGGCCGGGACCTCAGCCGGCCCGGACCTCAGCCGGCCGGGACCTCAGCCGGCCGGGACCTCAGCCGGCCGGGACGGGGCAGCCACGCAGGGAAGCTGAGTCCGCTTCCAGCTTTTCCTTCCTGGGGGAGGCGGCAGGGGGCTGGGCGCGCCTGCTTCTGCCCCATTACCTCTGGGCCCCTGCCCCTCAGCCCTTGCTCTCCACGCCCGCCGCCCTCGGGCCTGGGGACGACAGACTGGCTCCTGGGACGCAGCACACTTCCGTGTCCTCTAGGCCTGCCCTTGTCCCCACTCCCCCGCCCCCCAGTTCGCTGTCTGCTTCCTGAGCCACACACCAGCCAAATGCGCGTGTTTGACATCCCTTCCTGCAAACCCAATGTGAGAGAATTCCCGACGTGAGCTGTGTCAAGCGGCTGCGGTCAGCTCGGCTCGTCCTTTCTGCAGGTCTGAGGCCCCTGCCTTGCCCCCTCAGTTCCCCCCTGGGGGAGTTCTGTCCCCCAGGGGATACTGGGCGAGGTCTGGAGACATTTTAGCTGTCTCACTGCGGGGGTTGCTACCAGCTCCCCGGTGCATAGAAGGTGGACGTGCTGCTCAAAGTCTGAAAACACACAAGGCCCATCGCAGAGACGTGTCCCCACAAAAGTCAGTGCAAGAGTAAGACCCTGCCCTTTGAGGCCACTTTCGCAGGGTGGTCTGGGCAAGAGGGGCCCCCATCCACACCGGGTCTTGTGGGAGGAGACGTGGTTAACAGGGTTAGGCTCTAGGTCAGGGCTGCCGGCGACGGCGCTAGGTCTGGGACCCGCCACTGCGGAGGCTGCGGCTGCCGCGCTCGCTGCACGCAGAGCTGGCTGTGGGCACAGGAGGAGCTGGGCACCGGGCTGTGCTGGCAGGCCCGGAGCTGTTGGAATCCTGGTCTCCAGGTGCCATGGGCCCTGCGCTGTCTGCCTCGCACATGGTACGGGAGCAGCAGCCTCCTGAGGTGGAGCCGAGGCTAGTGACCGGGATGGCTCACTGCAGGGCAGGAGGACCGGCAGGCTGCAGCTGCCCGAGCCTGTGCCCCCTGAGTCCCCGGTCCCCTCCTGTGAGGCAAAGAGGCTGGAGCCAGATGCCATCTACTGGCCCTGCTGCTCAGACACTCCCCACGACCTCGGCCACTACAGCCAGTCCAGACCCCCCGCACTGGGGTGAGCATCTTTCTGGCCTGGGTCCAGCTGTGCTCCTCAGGGAAGGCAGCGTTATTACCTGACCTGGGACAGTTATGTCCTTGGTGACTGACCCTCCCCCCCAACCAAAGATCAGCAGGGACTGAAGAAGGATGGTCTCACCACCTCCTGCGGGAGTCTTCCTAGCCCACAACTGTCATCGCCCAACATCCTCGTCCCCACCCCAGGCAGCACCAAGCCCCCTGCTGCATCTGGACCAGGACAGCCCCGCCCCCCCATTGGTCTCCAGCACCCCAGGTTCCCACCCGTGAGAGGCTCCACAGGGACCGGTAGATGGTTAACGCTTTCCTTGAATCCATACTTGTCCTGCTTAATCAGGGAAAAGTGACGAGCTGAGGGGTTCTCGGGGGGGCTGGTCAGGCAGCTCCCAGGTGTTCGTAGTGGACCCTGTCTGAGGAGCCAGTGGGTCTTTAATATCAAGAACCTGCAGTGAGTGAGATGGGAGAGGGCGTAAGGGGGATAAATGGTAACGGGGGGAAAACAATAAAAAGTGAACTACTTAAATAAAAAAAATTTAAAAAAAAAAGAACCCAGGGGCCTCCTGTCTGTCTGATTGTCTCCAGCAGCCAGAGGCGTAGCTGAGCTTTGAGGAGGGGCTCCTGCCACAGCTTCCTGGAGAGGATGGCCGGGCCCCTGCCACCCTCGCCCCGGAAGGTGCCAACGTCAGGAGCTGTGCGGAGTCCTGGCCACCAAGCTGGAGTCAGGACCTGGGTACCACCAGGACCAAAGGTTCCTCAGGGCCCTGCTCTGGGCCTTGGGGAATATGAGGAGTGTCCCAGCCAAGAACCGGCCAAGGTCCTCCCCTCTGCGCCCCCCCTGCCCCCCTTCCCCACTGTCCACTTCCCCCTGTCCTCCCTGTCCCACCCCCTCGTCCCCTGTGGTCTGAGCACAGGGCTCTGCCCCTCTCCTGTGAGTCTGTGACTCACCTTGACCTTGAGCCTGCCTGGCGCAGGTGCTGGAGCTGCTGGGAGCAGTGGACCAGGACTGGCGAGGGTCCCAGGGCTGGGCCCAGGATCTTGGGGTGGAGGATAGTGTGCGGGGCCCACTTGTCACAGGGCCAGGCAGACAGGCCGGGGGTGCATCCATGCTGCCTGAGGCCGGAGCTCCCAGGAGGGTCCCGGCCGGCCGGGAATAGGAGCCTGCTCTCTCCCAGTCTGGACCAGGGCAAGGTGCCAGCAGGGCTGGCCCCTGGGCTCTGAGGGGGAGGGCCCTTCCGTGTCTCCTCCAGTGGCCAAGGCTCCAGCTGTCCCTCGGCGTGGGGCCGTACCCCGAAGTCTCTAATGTTTTCCTCTCCTCTTGTAGGGACACCAGTCATTGTATTTAGAGGTCACCCTAACCCAGGATGACCTCGTCTTAACTAATTGCATCTACGGAGACCCTATGTCTAAATAAGGCTACATTTGGAAATAGAATTTGGGGGAGTGGTACTATTCCATCCACTGCAGCTCCCGAGAGGAGAGGAAGACGGAGAAATGGGGCAAGTTGGGAGGTGGTCAGGAGAGAGGAGAGATGGCGACAGGAGGGAGGGTAGGAACCCGGATGCAGGCCTGCAGCCCGGCTGAGGTCCAGAAACAGCCTGGGGACACACTGCCGGGCACTGTGCCGACCTTTGGGTTCTCTGCCCCATGCGATGGCCACACACAGATGCAGTCCTCTTCACACCCCACAGCAAGGAGCACCTGCCACGCGCCGGGCCCAGGGGTGAGCCCCGCCCCTCCCCCTGCAACAGGAGACCACAATTCTTGCTGCACAGGGCCCTGGCCCTGGCATCCCGTGTCATCTCATTGTGACCCCGCTCTTAGCCTGGTTGGGCCTGGATGGTGCTGCACTCAACATCTGCGGCCAAGAGGGGCGCCAGGAAGAGGCCGGCTTTCTTCCCTCAGGCCGGGGAGCAGCATGGGAAGGAGCAGCCCCGAGCTACTCCATACGCTGCCCCCCGCCACACTCGTAGGGCCTTCCTTGGGGCCCGTGCCCCCTCCCCGCTGGGTCAGGTCCCTTCAGACATGTGGGCAGTCCCACCAGGGACGGGCACTCTGGGGGCTCCCTTTGCAGATGCAATGGAGCCTCTGTCTTGGGGAGGCTGGGCACAGGTGGGCCGAGGCTGGAGGAAGCCGTGAGGGGAGGACCAGGCCAGACGAGAGGAGTCCTTCGGGAGGGATGTGACTGACCCTGGAGGTGTGAAGGGGGATACACAGCACATGGCCAAGACTGCCTGTGGGGAGCTATGGGAGCAACGGCTTCAGGCCCCGGAATTGCCGGGACAGAGCCGCAGAGGGTGCCGTTTAACCCCAGCACCAGGCACCGTGTCCTTGGGGGCTCCTTGCCCCTCCCTGGCAGGCAGGCCCAGCATCGCCACTACCTCCCCCCTCCCACCCCGCAGGGCCCTGTGCCTGCCGGCGAAGGGCAGCAGTCGTGGCCTCAGCCGGGCTGAAAGAGACCAGCGACGACGTTAGCTCAGGCAGAAAAGTCGGATTGGGATTTCCTCCAGGCCCCAAAATCAAGAGCCTTTAGAGCCTCACTTTGGTGTTTAGAGGGAAAAATCACTTTTAAAAAAATCACTTCCTCACAGAGAATCCTAAACAAGATGAACCCAAAGAGGGCCACACCAAGACACATCATAATTAAAATGCCAAAGGTTAAAGATAAAGAGAGAATCTTAAAAGCAGCAAGAGAAAAGCAGTTAGTTCCCTACAAGGGAGCTCCCATAAGACTGTTAGCTGAGTTCTCAACAGAAACTTTGCAGGCTAGAAGGGACTGGCAAGGAATATTCAAAGTGATGAAAATCAAGAACTTACAACCAAGATTACTCTACCCAGCAAAGCTACTATTTAGAATCAAAGGGCAGATAATGAGCTTCCCAGACAAGAAAAAGCTAAAGGAGTTCATCACCACCAAACAGGTATTACAAGAAATGTTAAAGGGTCTTCTTTAAGGATAAGAGGTAAAAAACAAAAGATAAAATATTTGAATAATAGAAAAAAATAAATACATATTTATGAACAATTGCTTTAAATGCAAATGGATTAAATGCTCCAATCAGAAGACATGCTGTGGCTGAATGGATAACAAAACGAGACCCATACATATGCTGTCTATGAGGGACTCATTTCAGATCAAAAGACACACACAGACAGAAAGTAAAGGGATGGAGAAAGATATTTCATGCAAATGAGAACAAACCAACCTGGGGTAGCGACACTTATACCAGACAAAATAGACTTTGAAACAAAGGATATAACAAGAGACAAAGAAGGGTCCAGTGATCTGTTTCTGGGTATTTATCCAAAGAAACCCCAACCACTAAATGGAAAAGATATGCATCCCTATGCTCATTGCACTATTGTTTACAATAACCAAGATACGGAACCGACCTAAGTGTCCATCAATAGATGAATGAATAAAGAAGTGGTGCATATGTACAATGGCGAATGACACAGCCATAAAAAAAATGAAATCTTGCCACTTGTGACAACATAGATGGACCTACAGGGCACTGTGCTGAGTGAAAGAAGTCAGAGAAAGGCAGATGCCATATGATTTCACTTATATGTGGAATCTAAAGAACAAAATGAACAAGCAGACCAGAAACAGACTCATAGATACAGAGAATATTTTGATGGTTGCCGGACGCGGAGGAGGCTGAGGGT